CTCTTAGACAATCATAACCATGATGCGTGAATTTATGCAGTATAGGTTGCGTTGCAGCGATACAATGCGACTAATTGTCTCCTATGTATATTAGTCTAGCGATCACAGATCGATTCACTCCTAGCCATGTACGGGAGCTCGGTAAAGATCCTTGTTCTGATCAGAGAGCTCTTCTAGGGCACGATCGAGAAGCATCCTTCCTTAATTAGAAGCTGAGATTAATCAGTAAAGATTACTTCAAAGAGATTAATTCTGTCGAAGTCTTTTTTCGACCGTCGATAAGAGATTGATTCACACAACGCCATACGTGGAGAGTCATAGAAGATTATTATCACGATACCTGTTAAAAGCAAGACATCATAACAATCAAGCGTGATTATAGAGGAAGCTTTTTGCGAGATAAGCCCCTCGATCACATCTCAAGAGGCAAATATTCGAGCTAATTTAGCCGCTAATCCTGGCTCTCGAGCCTCTGTAGAGGCTGCTAATCCTACTCTGTCCGTCAGCTCGAGACGTACTCGTCTGGAGTTCTTTGCATTCTACTGATGTAGCGAGAAAAAAAATTCATGCTTGGAAGCTTGACTGGAACATTCAGCGTTTTACTTGTCTGAATGAAAATAAAAATATAACCAGAAAGCGATTTGACTCGAATATATCGCGAAACTAAATTTTTTTCTACCATAAGAAGGAAAAATGACTTTAACCGGGAGAAGTGAAGGTACGTAACAACCCTCTGAATAACCCTCAGTGCAAAGAATTGGACAATATTAATATCTATTATTAAAATTTCATAGTGCATTTTTATCATCAATCGGTGTTTTTTCACGCATTCTAATCACACGGAAAAAAATTTACTTTAAGATTACTGTTCGCTCAATTTAGCTATTGCAGTAATTCGAACTAAAAGTCACTATACAATTGATAAACATGAGGTTCATTCAAATTCCGACAGGAAAAATTTTTTACAATGGAGAGATGGACGTAATTTGTTCAAACTGCTAATTTTACAATGTCTGTTTGTACCTGAGTGTTCTTTCTATAAATAATCTTAACAATGTGAAGTCGAAGAAATGGTTAAGATGGTGCTTGAGAACTGCTCAGTTTTTAGTTAGAAAAAAATGATTGTAAATTATAAATGAAAAATACTCTCACAACCACCAATCAAAATAATTTTTGTTTGACATAAAAAAACAGTACGACCATTGAAACTTAAATTTTCTTGCATTCGATTCATTGCGTGGAAATATATTGGTCTGCTTTTCTAGTTCTTGAAATAATCATCTCAATATGCACGAAATTTCATTCATGGTGTACGTGATGATCTTACGTGCCGATAGTAAAATAAGTGCATTCATGTAGATCTTATAATAATAAACAAACAATAATATCCGAATCGCAAAAAAATGAATTACTGTCCTCATATTATATTATGTTATATTATATTATATTAAATTATATTATATTATATTATATTATATTATATTACATTATATTATATTATATTATATTATATTATATTATATTATATTATATTATATTAACAATAGTAACTTTTCGAAGATTTCCTCTGTTTATATATGTGAATAAGAAGTTTGAAGTGATCCGGCTACTTGTAAATGAGGTCTTGATAAAATGCTCATATGAAATTATTATACTTACATGCCAGGGAAGCTTTTCCATTAGAATATACCTCTACCGTTACTGGTCTGTACCGGGACTCAAGACAATTAATTCTCGATCCCTGTTCATGTTAGAGCGTCTGTTTCAGCTATAGAAACAAATTCTTAATTTTTCAATCTTGATGCGTCGTCAATTTGAAGAGGCATCGTAACATCTGAAGATATTAATATTTCGATTGGAGACCACGCTTGGTCAAGGTGAAAAATGAACAACATAGATTAAAGAGCCGAGGTATGTTTGGCCGATGAAAGCAATTTTCGTTTCTGAAATATTTAGTTAACATTTTTGTTATTGTTGAGTTTAAATGTGTGACTTTCTTGACTTTCATATGAAACTCCAAGTATTTTGAGATGCTCAAATCAACATGTCAGAGGTCTTGCATATGAGCATATGGAGATATTTGGATAAGCCTGTCGTGCTGTAGGGTTTCAGTTAAGGCCTGATAAATATTTGGGTAAGCATCAGTCAAACATCTGGACTCTCAGTTGAGGGTCAAAAATATTTGGGTAAGCATAAGTCAGCATTTACGTCAGGAGATATCGGCCGATCTTAAGTGGAGGAGCCCCGGCAGAGCGGACTTCCTTTCACGAGTATTGGTTTTGGAGCCTGGAGAGCGAAGGTGATCTCCAAACGACCACTCGCCTGCTTGTCAAACAATCGCGAGGTGTGTTTTTCCAGACACATTTGTACCCATGCTCCTCAGGTATAATTTAGCTACGTTATTAGCGGGCGGTCGTCGGCTCTCTCATCTGCAAGCTAAAATTCACCGATGCTTCACTTACGGCTAACCACTTTAAAAAGGCGGCCTTCCACAATTCGGCGATGATTCACACAACAGTGGAGGTAAAAACTTTCCAGTCTGTCTATTGTTGATATCGTAAAGATCGCATCACTCGCATTGAGTTACAAGCGACCTATGCGACACCTAATCTCGTGTCGTGACACTTCAGGTTAACTACACTTGTTTTGTTGGCGCAAACGCTCGCCTAATTGCATCTGTGAGCTGCACACTTTGGCTCCATTTTAGAAATAGATAATCGAAACTGAAGAACTTAATTCCCTTTTCGAAAAAAAAACTAAAATTCGTAGATTCATTCAGTTAGGTGTGAGCAGGGCTTTTGAAATTTAATTGTATGTGTGCTTGTGTTAAAAAAATTATTTCATATGGAACCTTGAATTTGTTATTCAAATCTTGAAATAAAATTTTTATGTATGCCTGCTTATTATAGGTCGCTTGAAACGCAAACAACAATTTACTTGTTAAATAATCTTGAAAATTGAAAATAAACATGTAGATAGCACCAGCAATTATTCATGAGTTTTCCCGTACAGCAGGGAATGTGGGGACCGAGAAAGTGTACATTTCGAAAGAAGATGCCGCCTCCCATGAAACAACGCTCGCAGCCCCTGCAAGTACAGCAATTCTCGTCTTTCCATTCGTGTCAGGAGTAATTTGAAGGACCTTTTGTCCCTGCAACGACATTCGGGCTCAGCTTTATTGCAGACTTTAAGGCAAGGAAGAAACGCTTGACGCTCTCAAAACAAACCGCAGTCAAGGGAACTCTTGAAATTTGAGGCTTAGTGACGTGAATAAACTAAACATTCTTCTCCTTTTCAGTAATGCATTGGTAATGTAAGAAACCAACTGTTCAGGTAAATTTACTAGAAGTGTTTATAATGCAACAGTATTGTCTGTTGGATTGAAAAAAATTAACGTATTTTTGACCATTGAAAATGAAGAAGAAAACATTGCTTACAGTGCAAAATTATAGTTACATGTTTGGAAAATAGCGGGTTGAAAGTGCGTTTAAAATGTGTAGAATGTGGACCCTGACGATGCGTGATGGTCGGCCCTCGTCTTCGTCATGAAGACAAGGATCGTGACCACGACAGATCCTGGCTGGCGATTGGTCGTCTCGCGGCTTCCAGGTTCAGATTACACAGGTCATCAAACGCCCTCCTCAAGACTTGAGACACGGGAAAGATTTCAAGAGTTCCAGAGCATCACCTTGCTTAATGTTTATTGTTCCAAAAGTTGGCGCTAAAGTTTAAGTATTATTTAGATATCACTCACTTTCATCTTTGTGGAATATTCCATAGATAAAGCGTTCTTGCGTTCTTCATCCATCAGCGTTCATATGATCATATTCATCATACTCATTATTCATCATTTATATGAAGCATTTTTATAATTGCCATGCCTTATCTCTCCCTAAAGAAATGGTTGCATAATACTTTTGTATTGTGGATACAAGACTCATTAAAAGTTTTTTTGCAATTATTAATTAAGCCTCAAGACAATTTTCCACAACCTTGTTATGGTATTTGTCTACATAACGTGATTTTGGTATTAGATGGCACAATTTACTTGTTTATACACCGCGATTGATGACCAGAGAATTTGTTGATTTATATTATCAAGGAGTGGAACAATTCTTCATATAATGGTAATATAAATCAATATTTTCAACAATAATCAAGACCTCTGACATGATAATATAAATTAACGAATTCTCTGGTCATCAATCGCGCGTGTATAACGTGATATGTATCCATAAGATAATTCATAAATGACGGACTTCTTCTGAGACGTAATTCATTATGATATGTATGCTAATGTGAATCAAAGAATTAATGTGAATAAAGGAATTATTGGGAATCAAAGAATTAATGTGAATCAAACAATTAAAGGAGTCAAAGATTTAATGGGAATCAAAGAATTAATAGGAATCAAAGAATTAATGGGAATCGAAGAATTAATGTGAATCAAGGAATTAATGGGAATCGAAGAATTAATGCGAATCAGAGAATTAAAGTAATCAAAGAATTAATGTGGATCAAATAATTAACTATGATCCTTTTTCTGCCATAAAAGCTCTAGAAGCAATTTTAGCGACAACACTTCTAACTGCCGAGAACAGTTTCATTTCCAGATACTTGAGATATCTTAATCTGTGACATGGCAGTGCCTCTGCATATAGCGGTGTGGTATTATCATGCCTCGTATTCGCAATATGGATGAAACATATATAATCAATGCATTATAGGTATTAATTTAATTAATAAAGGTAATGGTTATTAATTAACAGCTAGTAATTCTCTCTCAGAGAGACCAGAAGCAGACCATAGCTCTCGTGTAAATATTGTACTGCTGGATAAAGTCGCACCTCAACTGAAATTTTCATTGAATGTTGCAGTTTGAAATAAATTTTTGCCTTATTTAGAGGAGGTTTAGCAATATAAATTTTGTAGCGGTTTTGGAAACTTGTGGAAATAAAAAACACCATTCAGTTCAAATAAGATTTAATAATAACATTCCCAAATATTTCCTAACAAATGTTCTTGATGTATAAAATATAAACAAATAAATTAATAAAGAAGCCTCATCCACAGGATGGAAAAGCTTTAATTTGTACAATTTGTGTAGTAATGTTCATTTCATTTGAATTAACACAGCATTTACACGAATAAACTATAATTAATAACCGGGAATAATGACGTACAGATTGATATGTATACAAATTCCTATCCCTTTAAATTACGAAAGAAGGTTGTATAACACCGTAGAATTTTCTCAGACGAATCCTATAGAATTTGGAATGGAATTTGAAATGCCGAAAACTTCTCCTTCACAGGCAGGTGTACACAGAAAGAAATTATCTAGCATCATTTATCATGAACGAATGTATGTCTCTGAACCGTCACGACTAGAACCCACACGTTTAAGCCAGGACGCTTAATTTTAGCCTATGTAAAAACTCTTAATTTTAGCATATGTAAGTAACACCATAATAAACTGCACAAATTGAAAAAATACCAAACATGAACAATTTTATAGAAGGATTGAACATCCGAGAATGACATGAATATTATAATAGCCAATGGTTAAGCAATCACAGTTAGCTTAGTAATTGTTGATGCATAAACAATATATAAGGTATTTTGGCAACTTAATGCTCAAAAAATTTTTGAGTGTTTTAATCTAAACCAACAGAAGTTTACATGATTCCTTCATGCAGAAGGAGCAGCAGCTTCATTATTGGTTATATTATGTGATTGCATGACTTTTTGCGGTTGTTTCATCTTGAATTAGTTATCTAAAAACTGTTTTCAAGAAATGGAAAAGGCTTTTTAAATACTTGAGAGTGTTGAGAATTATTGAAATGAACAAAAACCTCAAACTTCTCATTAAATTTGACATTTGATACGAACCAAGGCCGTCAAAGAAGCATAACTCTACCAGCTAGACAATAATTTTGCGTCAGCTCATGCCCCAGCATATATCTGGTAGGGTTAAATCATCCCAGGCAATTTCAGAGCCGATGCCTTGCAACACATCACTTTCTACAGCACTCCACCAACGGCCTTCCACCCGCCCCTCAACCACGGGGTCTACACGCCCATCAAAACAAGGACTGGACGCCTCCATCGTCGGTCTTCCATCAGCATCGCAAGGCCCGTTCAAAAGGCCTTGTCCGTAGCACGACATTCCGGAGATCGACGTGGGAAGTACAACGGAAGTGGAAGGATTTGGTAGAGCTGGGGGGAAGAATTGCACGTTAGGTTGTGGTTGTGGTGGAGGGTCCTTCAAGAGGTCAGCGAGAGCCCGGATGTAGGAGGTCGCTAGTTTTAAAGTTGTTATTTTGGTCATAGAAGCAATCCTCCGACAGGCGAAAGAAGGCAAAACTCCGCGTAGTGTGGCAAAAGCAGTGTTAATTTCACGCATCCGATCTCTTTCTCGCGCGTTTGCGGTGTTACGACGGTACTTGGAGAGCGTGTGGCCTCTTGCTCGTCCTCTACGACCGCTTTTGCGATTTGGTCTTTCCGGGGAGTCCTTCTCGTCTCCGGATCTTCGAAGACTGGCTCGAGGTCGCAGGCCGTACGACTTCCCTCTTCTGCCGCTTATGCGCCCTCGTCCACCGCCTCCGTTAGTTACATTGTTTTCTGCACTTTCGTTACTCACGGTTACGTTACTCACTTCATTGTCGGCTGAAACATTTTGAGTTCTGAAACTGTTATTGTCACTACTACTATTATTATTGGAATCAGTACTGTTGCTCGTTGCCCAGGTTGACGAGTTATTTGGTACACTAAAAGAATTGTTTAAATACTCAGATTCGGCATCGGCAGTGCAAGTTCTGTTCACTGAATTTGTGATCGATTCGTTCAGACTGGATGACCTTACAGAAGGTGACACCGGCACCTCACAGACTAAGGAACTTCCCACTGGTGATTGAGTTTTTAAATCACTTTGAATCACTTCACATGGATCACTTTTTATAATGTCCTCATAGGTGCGTTTAAGACCTCGCCTGCTGAGAGATTTAAGCGGAAAATTTTTCTGAGCGATCGTGAAGGATTCATCAACAAAAGTGTACTGATCGCCTCTGGCTGCCACTTCGCTGCACGATGGCAGTTCTGCCGTTGGTCGTCCATGCGAGTCAATCATAACTGGCAAATGATGTTAACTTTATGCACGTTACAATCATTTCTGAAGCTCAATTCTCCATTTTTGTCTACATTTTTTAATGATCAGCTCAAGTTCTCAAGTAAATCTTCTTCAACATGTATCAAATTATTTATTTAAAAAGACGTTATACTTTTTTTGTAGTATTGGCACTTTGTTCTTATTCCGATTGGAAAGTGATTAAGAAATTGCGAACTACACGGCCGAAGGCAGCACAGGTTTAGCACCAACATCCAGTGCCAAAATCTGATGAGCTGGGCACGTACATCCTCCACAACGTCTGCCAGGTAACTGGCGTCAATATTCTAGGCATCCTGCATTCCTACAGCTCCTAGCTGAGTGGTCGCTAAAATTTCAACGATAACCACAGGTCAAAAACCACCAAAGTGATCTAACATGATCGATGATCTGACGTTGTGTGACGAGTCGCTGTTCGATCGTTCGATCAACTGCGATCGATAGAGTTTCAGACTCGGAAAGATCCGTTCCGCGCGTATTCATGGATTGAATATGACGAATTAGGCACGTCGAAAGATGTCAGTGTGATTAGGAACGTACCGTCGTGATGAATAATCTGCGCATTCAATAAGCAACTCCGGCTCTAAGTGTTTTTTTCTTTAAATAAACGATGGAACCTTTTGAGAAAAGAAAATGCACGACAAACTGCATAAATGAATCCGTATATAATAAAAATTTTCAGACTGACGATAAATTAGTATTTATTTTTCTTACTTTTTCAATAATATCATATGAATTAAGTAATTTCTCTGACGCCACAACGGGCTATTCGAATGCTTGATATTTATGCCCAAAAAATTGAAGAAAACTTTTTGACGTCGAAGAACTGAAGCTACATTAAAAACCATAATCATTATTTACTGACAACGATTAGCACTCGATGTAAATTCCTCTGCATAATTGATCAAATTAACTTTTGATGCTAATTATTTATTTACTCGAATTTGAAAATCGTTGATCAAATGGTAATTTTGTTGATCAAATGGTAATTATAAAATAAGTATGAGAAATAATAACGATGATACGATGCCTGCACCTTTTAATTAAGGCGATCGTTACTTGGATACGCTCGAGTTTCCAAAAGAAGTTTGGAAATGTTATGTGATCTTCATCGAATCAGCTGGAACCTTATATCAAGATTGGAAAGTTTACTTCAAATTATATCTCATTTGCGCGAAAAATTTCCGAAAAATATTTTCTTTGCCTGAATAACCCGGCGTGGATAATAAAATTAATAAACGGACTTGAAGGAAGACCGAAATCGGTACTTGGGCAGCGTTGAGGTCTCTAGAGAAACTGACAAAATTAGTTGCCCCTGAGAGATGCTAGAATGCTATATTTATTGGCCATAAGCGCATAAAGAAAAACACCGGAATTTGAAAACAATTTTCAGCTTAAAGTGCGCCTGTTCAGGATTGGTATTTAGTAGAAGTATATGTGTATAGAAGCATATATATTGGTATAGTTATGCAGAAATTGTTCTTTAATGCAGGAGAAGTAAATAAATTTAAGTCAATAATAAATACTCGTCTTCGATAAAACCTGCATTAAAGAATTATATTTGTATAGAATTTGCTTGAAAAACCAAAGGAATTATATTTTGTAATAAAGAAGCTTTGTGTTATGATAGATTGATGCTTTTTAAGGCCACGAGGTCTTTTGGAATCAGAAAAAGGCCTAACAACAAATGATCAAATTTCATTTTCCAATTACATGAAGTATTTTTTAAGTGTACAATAAGATGAATCTGCCGCAAATTATTGAATAATATTTACGGTATCCAAAAAAATAATTTATTCCGGAAATATTCATTACATCGGTCGGTGTCGTATTTCAGTTATAATACTGGATGACACATTCGGGAAAATCTTTTATTTAATTTCACCATCCAATTTTCAATATTTTGACGTTCATTTTTGTAACTAAAAACTAACCTTTATAACAAAATTACTAAAAATAATGTGCACATTATCTATTGAAATTTCGAGAAACTGTTCAAAAATTTCATGCAAATCACAATAAGTAATTTGTTTGAATATTTATGTAGTCCTTGACGATCATTATGCAAGACAAATGGTTATAAAATTCCCTGTTTATGCATAACAAATTAAATCGTTTAGAGTCTTTATAATCAACCTTCCTCTCGTGGTAACAATGCGCGTCTCATAATAAATTTAAGCGAGAGAGCTTGAGATATCAAGAAGTTATTTGCATAAACCTCATAAAATATGAGAGTGCGCGCCGACGTTGAAATTTTAAGCGGGCCATCGGCGTTCAATTATCGAAAACATGACAGCCATCAGAAACCGACAAATGTCGAATGATTGGACACAATTACTTAAAAATTGCAAGGAAATGTCAAAATGTGCATTTAAAAATAAATTTAAAGTACTGAAAAAGAACGATATCTCCATAGAAGGAATATGAATTTTGATGTTTTTTTACATGAATTGCAAGTGAATGTATTTGAAAATTACCTTAAAAAACCGACAAACTTTTCATAATAATGAACAAGTTTATGGAAAACTCCGTTCCAAATTGAGAACTAATTAAATTAATAATATAAGTTTTAAAACTTTAGGTGGACTATCGTTGGTCTCTCAATGACCACCTAATCGTCCGGCACGGCTGCAAAACGTGTTGCATGCCGAACATTACAGAAGCGAACGGCTCCATCGGCTTGCTTCTCTTCTCAATCGCATAACCACGAATTTTCTGTTGAGATTTACTACGTCAGCTGCAATTTGCCCAAGAATTTGTTCCAATTAAATGAAGCATTCGAAAATGTTGCGTATTTACCGCGCGCCTTTGACAGGGCATGGGTGGCAAAAAACTGAGGCTCAGTCCCATGCTCTCCTTTAGGAAGCGCCATTTGCATAGCGGCGCACAACAGCGGAGACGCCGTTCAGAAATTCCACCGCGTTGTCGTCGATGATGGTTTAAAGTTACGCAAGAAATGAAAGGAAGTCATGGGTTACATATTAATTTAGTAATTCATATTACATGGTTCCTTGCTAAATTATAGCCAATTTAATGATTTTATAAAAGCTTTAAACTATACAACCAAAATAATGGCATTATGGGAAAGATTTCAAAGAAATTAGCACTTGAAAGAACAGAAATCTTCCGAAAATAAAAATAATACATTTTTCGAAATTTTAACTAATAAATAATTATATAATATAAAAAACATAAATAAATAAATATTTAATTTAATTATAATCTTGAATAACATTAAATAAATTTAATGTGTTTGACGTCACTGTAGGATGATTTTTAAAGTAATAAACGATTGCATTTTAACAAGATTTTTCCGCAGCCTGGTAAGGAAAAATTTCCGGAATTTTAGAATTAAAAATTTAACAGATCGAGTTCATCATAAATATCAATGCTATAAAGACTCAGTTGAATTGGCTATACGTATTTATGAAACAAATTAATTTAAGTATCCGAGATATTAATGCTTTGAATAACTCAACCGGTTGCGGCAGAGATTGGTTGTAATCACCCGATTCTTAGCGGCGGCATTCAGTCGCCAAGCAAGCAGAATTGCGAGCCGAAACCAGGCGTTGTCTTGCAAAGCTCTCAGGTCGTCCATCACTGAAGCAATAAAATGCTGTGCTGAGCAGCGAAGAGCGTGTTAATGCAGATGTAATTAGCCAGGCTTACACTCATTCAATGCCTCAAAAGAGATCTGAAGCCTCATCAAAATTGCAGTTACGCGACAACGCCTACGGCATCACTTGCTGAGATGTACGCGTGCCGCGGTCATTTATTGAGAGCTCGGATTAATTTTCTTCACGCGGTGCAACTCTAGTTAGAGCTCAATGTTTTAGATGGAATATTATTGAGTAATATTTTGAGAGATATATGCAGCATGGTTTGGATTAAATATTGTTGATGACCAGCTTGTTTAAATAAAAATATATAGGCACTAATGAATATTTCTTAGCCAGCCAAGTCTGCTCGGTTGTTTATAGGAGTTTGCCCAATGAATTTCGGCTAGAGATATCTATAAATTTCTGTAAATAGAAGGTTCATGTTGCTGATGCAGCTAAGCAGGCAAAATTTCTTGTTAGTGCTTAGCACTTGCGAGATCTTCCACTAGAAAATTTCATTCAGTCTACAAAAAATCTCGCGCTGGAACGGTCGTGAGATTTTTCCAGTTCAGGGATGATTATTAGAACTAAAAATCACTTTCTTTGATATGGAGCCATATTTATTATTGTTAATATTGATAAGTTGGAAGTGCCGCGTCATTTATTCCAATGTTTTCATGAAATGTCTCCAAATAATGTATCCCTCTATAAGTCAACATTCATATTTAAATGTTAGCTGAGTTTTATGCCTTCTCCTCTTACTTAACTTGTATGCACAATTACTTATATATATTATTTTCTATGATACGTGATTCATTGTAGATTAATTTAAATGAATCGCGTTCATCGACCTCAACGTAAATTGATATAATTTGTGTTATTTATAGCAATTGGTTATATCAATGGATTTTTTTAGATCTAATTAACGTTTGGATTGTATTTATGCATATTAACGGGTACTGGCAAATTATTTTCTAATGTCTTTTTGTCTTGAGGGAGCAATTTTTATAAGCGCACGACATCTTTAACGGGAGCTCTGTGTGAGCCAGAAGTTATTGAGCCTAGAATGCTGGCACGCTGCACAGCCTCGGCAACTACGTCTGGAACGATCGCTGCTCTCGATGACTTTTGTGAAGAAATCTCTGCTGAAGAAATAAAATCGACTTATAGTATGTGGTTACTATTCAAAATATTGTTTGAGATCCCATGATTCAGGATTATTGCTCGATTTTTAGTTTCAAAGTTCGCGAATGGTGTAATTATTTCTTTCAAAATGAATACACTATAAGCTCTGGGGCAATTCGACCAGTCTTGTACTCACATAACAGTGTTATTCTTCCACTTGCATCTCCTGAAATTATTAAGTTTACAGTGGTTCACTCCTGTTGATTTATCCATACAATAATTGACGCTGAACACACGAGGGCACATACAACTTGTTTCATAAAAGGTAAAGTTGGAACTTATGCTTCTCCATGGCATAAATCACCTGGCATAAGACTGAGATTAAACTCGGCAAAAGAGAGGTTGGGTACCGAAGTCTTGTGGCTCTTTAAACGGACAAATGACTGCGGATGAGGAGACTTGCTGTGTTTGAATAATTAGCGGCGTGTAAAGAAGACTCTTTTGTAATCGTCAACTTAATCGCCGGACAATTTTTCA